AAAAAAAAAAAAAAAAAAAAAGAAGAAGAAGAAAGTAAGTCTATACATTACTCCGTAGTTCGTCCTCTACAACTCCAGTCACTAGTTCCCCTTTGCTGCTGGACTCTGGTGGATGCGGATGCGTATCTCGTGTTACGAGTTGCTGGGTGAGGGTTTTCAGCTCCGAGGGGGCATCGTTCTGATCCAGATGTAATTCGACAAACTACCGGCAGGATGACCAAATGGCCAATGGGGTCAGTAACCTGCGTGGATCGATGCATCACCGAGCGCTGGGAAACTCACCCGAAGCATTCGCCCATTATTGAAAGCCGAATCCTGCAGAAGCGCCGCCAGTTCCTCCTTGGTGCGGATCTGATATGTCTGATAGGACCCTTGCTCCGCCCCAAACACCTCCAGCAGCTGTCGATATTTCCATTCCTGAATGTCGTTGTACGATTCATGCCATCCGTGGATCAGCCGCTCCACCGTGTATCCATTGTTGCAGATCACAAATCTGAACAATCGGAGTTAATCATCCCCAATGCAGCTGCGGACTTCGATGGGTCAATTGACTTACATGATCGGGGTCAGATGGTTTTTGACGATCGTGCTCAGCTCCTGACACGTAAACTGAAAACTGCCATCGCCGATGAAGAGGACAGTGCGTCGATCAGGCAGGACTGAATCCTGGACGGCCGCTGCAGCCCCCTGGCAGGCGCCCAGGGAATAGCCCACACTCGCCCAGACATACTGGCTGATATAGGTCACATCGCGAGGAAACCGGGTGGACCAGATGCCAAAGTTGGAGGTGCCAGTCTCGGCGATGACCGTATCCCCCGGTTGCAGCCATTCACTCAGGGCCGGCCAGAGCCAGTCGTGGTTCAGCGCCCCGGTCGTCTTTCTGTAGCTCAGCGTATGGGACATACGTTTCAGCATCCCGTGCATCATGATCAGCCCGCCGCCGTAGATCGCCTCGCGGCCGACAGTCGTGGGGGTGATCGGGGGGGGTGCGCAGATCGGGTGTGGGCTTGCAGATGTGCTAGGTTGCACAGTGGCCACAGGGCTTCGTCGGGCAGACTGACTCAACTCTTCTGCACGGCGGATGAGAGTCTGCAGAAGCCCCTGACTGTTCAGCCCGTGGTAAGCCTTGCCCTGGACTTGCACCGTCCCATCGCGGATCTCGACCATCTTCAGGGGATCAAACTCCCACGACACGGAGGCGACGTTCAAATCCGAATGAATATTGCCGACGGAGATAATCAAATCGGACGAGCGTACTTTCCGGGTGGTGGACGGATCGGAGCAGTCCCCGAGATACAGTCCATGGAAGCAGGGATGTTCTTCGTCAATAATACCCCTGCCCGAGGCAGACAGGAAGACCGGCAGTCCGAAGGCCTCGGCCAACTCCTGCACCTCTTGCCTCTTCGTGAACCGGACATTGTACCCCCCGACCAAAAGGATGGGCTGCCGGGCGATCCGAAGAGCGCGCAAGATTGCATCGGCCGTCCACCGCTCCGTCGCGGAATCGTTGGGCGAGGGCAGCATGTCCAGCGGCCGCGAGAGCGGCTCGGCCATGACGGGGGCATGCACCATGTCCGTGGGTAAGACGATGGAGACCGGTCGGCTGGATTTCCAGCAGTGGCTGATCGCTTCGTCGATGAGTCCCGGTGCCTGGCTGACGCATTGGAGCTTGACGCTCTTCGAGGCCGTCCTGTGCGACATGCGGGCCATGCTCTCGAAGTCCCCGTCGCCCAGGGAGTGATGCAGCAGCTTCTTCCGCTTCTGCAAGGCCAAGCTCGGCTGTCCCACAATGTGCACGATCGGGACGTACTCGGCGTACGCTCCAGCGATGGCATTGGAGACTGACAGCTCCCCGACCCCAGCGACAGTCATCAGGGCCGAGATGCCATGGACCCGGGCGTAGCCATCAGCCGCGTATCCTGGGTCGTCGTTCCGTCAGTCGAGGGAGTCTGCAATGGGGTAGGTAGGTAGGATACACAAGGGCCTAAGTCTCACCAGCATTGAGCTCGTTGCAATTCCCAATCCACCGGAGACCCGCCTTCGATACGTAGTCGAGCGCAACCAGATTGTAGTCGCCGGGCACGCCATGGACAGACCGGATGCCAACTTCCTTGATGCGGGTGAACAGATACTGTGCCAGCGAGACGGTGGTTCTGGAGGACGGCATGGTCAACAGATGGGGTTTCCAAGAAAATGCGGGATGCTTCTCTTCATTCCAGTGTCCTTTTAAACCAGATGTGATTGATGAATGTGGTGTTCGGGGTGTTCGGGGTGTCCCATCATCGACGCGAGTCCTTTGGATCGTCTGGATGTCCCAAGAATCCTTTTCCAGCCCATCGCGTCGAACGAAGCGTAACACAGACTGCAAAATTGCATGTCCGTGACGGGAACATGACGATACAGGTGTTTTGTAATACCGTTGAACCTCCTGTGGTTTACTTGAGTCTGCAGGATGCATGCGCACGGTACGAGTCAGCAAGACCATAGGGGTGGTGTCTCCACTAAATAATGCATCGGTTCTAGACAATCAGACCAGTCAGTTAGCTTGCAGGTCCTTCTGTCGTGTCAATGGGAATGCGTTCCCCCCGGAGCTATAGCATCGGCGGAAATACGAGCGGATTGAAGCCACCAGGGTTGGGTAACTTGGCGCTTATCTCCTTGGTCTATCCTCTTGTCTTGTCTTACCATTCCTTGCATCTGTCAGGGCTTGGATGACTGCAGACGCTTCCGCAGAGGCTGTGATTGATTGGTTGGGTCCACCTGCACTCACCCCTCGAAACCCGGCATCTGCCAGCGCATACGCTGCAGAAGACTGCTACCGAGGCAGTGTACAGATACAGTCCCTCTTGGCTATCGTCCTCCAGTCAGGATAATGCCAGGAGTTGCACGAAACACGGCTGGCAGACCCTTTCCCCTCTTTCTCTCCCGTCTTGGTAGCTCGGTTTACGCCCCCCTATACGCATCTCATCTCCATTTGCCGTTTGCTCGCTCAGCAGAATCCCGACGGAGACGAGGGTGAAGGATCAACTACGGGCAGCAAACCACTGGTACATTTTCTAATCCGCTGGAGGGAGGACTATCTAGGCATATTGCGTCGTCGAGGCTCTCACCAGCGCCCGGGTGATCGTCTTCCCCATCGCGATCACCGCGTCAGTGTTGACGGGAATCTCATGGCCCTTGTTATGTACCCAGACTGATCGCTTGCCTTCCACACAGGCCGCCGTGATCGCCTCCGACGCCGGCGCGTTCTTGTCCGCCGACCCCCAGATATGCGCCGTCGGCAGATCCAGCATCCCCGCGTACGCGTCCCGCTGCAAGGGCACAATGCGACCGCTCACCAGCTCCTGGTAATCGTACACAGCCCACGGGTTGGAGAAGAAGACCCCGAACCTGAAGGGCAGTGGGCGTGCCTCCCGTTGCAACTTGAGCAGCCAGCTCAGGGCAACATTGGCCCCTTGGCTGAACCCCATGATGCCGTCGTAGGGTCCTTCCGCGGCGATGTACCGTTCGAGGTGCTCCAGAGCTTGGAGGCATGATTCAGGTCCCTCGGGGTCACAGTGCGCGAACGTTTGCTCTTCACCCATCACGAACTGATCCAGATCTGTTGTTGGGTGGTTAGGGTGGGTGAGGTTCAGTTAGGGCACTTGGGGCAGTTAGGGCAGGATGGCATGCGGCACACCTCGATCGGTTTCCCATGGGACCACACCGTTGACGAAGTCGTAGCTGTGGTCGTCTCCAAGTTCATAGCGCAGTGCGGCTGTTGATGGTGTCAGCGCCATTGGATTGGCTTGCAGGCTGCTAGCTAGATTCATACCAGTCTGCTGCTGGAAGATCTGTGTCGAAGAGTCAGGTCAGTACGTCTATGACGGGCCGGGTCACACTCACTCGGGCATTGCTGCCTTGTCCGTGTAAACTAGCAAAGAACTAAGATTAACCTCAAGACAGGAAGGACCATTGACTTCATCATGCATACCACAAGAAACGCATTTGTAGAATCGCCGTTGTCGAGGATCACGGAGGGATGGGTTGGCAGAAAACAGGTCAATGCCTCGATATGCCCCAGATCATCAACTTATAACGCGTAGCAGCATCCCGCAAGTTTGATATGCCCGAACTGGGCCGAGGAATGCTGAGCAAAGCTAAAAAGAATCAGAGAGAAGACGACGAGGGGCGCTTCCCCCTGCAAGGAGTCTATGCTCGAGGCTGAGACCCAACTCTTCGGCATAGCCGACGCTCCGCAATCACGCCGGGCTCATTATCTGTCAGATTACGGAATAGATTACTAAATACTGCAGTCTGAACCATTGTACCGGTACGGTATGTGCGGATGGCCTGAAAGTGGCGTTGCGCTCGGCTCCTGCAGATAAGACCCACAATTCTCATTCTTGGGCGGAATTACTCCTGCGAATCGCTTGCGGTTGAGCTGACAGGTCTCGGGAAAGTTGGCTGAAATCTGGCACCTAGTAAATTACCGGTGACTTTTCGATTGCGTCTCGCATCTTGCGCCTCAGTGCCCAGTCTCAGGCCCCAACCCCAACCCCATCATGCAAGAGGCGATCTCATTCTTCCACTAGCCCCTACCAAGCAGCATGGAAAAGTGACACGGAATCCCAAGATGCTGTCAGTCCAGTCAAAAGTAATAAAGGCGGTTCGTCGGTCGATTGGAAGGCCATCCACCACGGTCCCTCCTCCCTAGAATAGACTTCTTGCTTTGGCCTCCCAAGGGCATCCCATTCACATCTACACCCTTCCTCCATCCATGGCGCAAACGGTAGAAGTAAAGCCTCCGACACCGCTGGCGATCGTCGGACTGTCCTTCAAACTGCCCCAGGATGCCGTCACCCCGGAGTCCTTCTGGCAGATGCTCGTGGAGCGACGATGCGCCTCGACCGACTTCCCGCCGGACCGACTGAACATCGACACGCACCACCGCGCAGACACCGATCGCCTGGACGCGCTGTCCATGCGCGGGGCGCATTTCCTGACGGAGGATCTCCGCCGATTCGATGCGCCGTTCTTCTCCATCACCGCCGCCGAGGCCGAGGCGATGGAGCCGCCGCAGCGCTTGATCCTCGAGACCGCGTTCCACGCGCTGGAAAACGCGGGGATCCCGTTGCAGCGCATCGCGAAGTCTCGAACCGCAGTATTTACGGGCTCGTCCGGTCATGACTGGTTGATGTCGCGGGCGAAGGATCCCCTGCACCAGCATAAATACGATATCACGGGTACGACGGGCAACATGCTCGCCAACCGCATCAGTTGGTTCTTTGATCTGACGGGGCCCAGTGCCACTGTCGACACGGCCTGTTCGAGTAGTTTGATGGCGATCGACATGACGTGTCAGTCGATCTGGAGCGGCCAGGCGACTATGGTTTGTTTGAAGCGCCCTGGACGGATGCAGGCTGTGTGCTAACATGATCAGGGCATGGCGATCGGAAGCAATCTCCTGCTGGCAGCTGAGGTCACGCAGATGATGGATAACCTGGGTCTGCTGTCGAAGGACAGTCGGTGCTTCAGTTTCGACGACCGTGCTAATGGGTACTCGCGCGGTGAAGGTGTGGGGGTTCTGGTTATCAAGACCGTGGAGGACGCTGTGCGCGACGGGGACGTCATTCGAGCAGTGATTCGATCCTCAGCTTCGAATCAGGACGGCAAGACGCCGGGCATCACCCAGCCCAGCGCGGAAATGCAGGCAGCGTTGATTCGCGAGACCTACGTCAACGCAGGACTGGATATCGGGCAGACGCGGTATTTTGAAGCACACGGAACTGGTTGGCATTCACTATCCCCCGTCCCTCGGTATGGTTTGAGCTGACAGCATATAGGCACCGCCGTGGGTGATCCCATCGAGACCAGGGCTATTGGTTCCGTTTTCCGACTGCATCGCTCGCCAGACGAGCCGTTGTACATGTGGGTTCGCTACATCTTGGTAGTCCGTCAATTCTGACTAATGTGATGTGATCCGCAGAGGATCCGTGAAGTCGAATATCGGCCACCTCGAGGGTGCAAGTGGTATCGCCGGGATGATAAAGGTCATTCTGGCGCTGGAGAAGGGCATCATTCCGCCGAACAGTGAGAACCTGCAGACCCTGAATCCGCGAATTGATGACGAGTTCTGGAATATCAACGTAAAGCCCCAATGCAGCGTTGATTAGCGGCGAAGCATAAAGCTAACTGTCAAAGTTTCCTCAAGAAGCCCTACCGTGGCCAACGGGCGATGTGCGACGTGCTTCCATCAGCTCCTTTGGCTATGGAGGCTCAAACACACATATTGTCCTAGATGACGCCTATCACTACCTCCAACTCAACCAACTGGAAGGGAACCATAACACAATGCCACCGCTTGCCTCGGCTCGCACCAACGGTACGACTCAGAACGGGGTCCACCAACAAGTATCGAACGGCACCAATGGAGTTGCGAGGTCCTTGACTAATACGCCGAAGCTCCTCGTCTGGTCTGCGGCGGATGAAGCGGGTATCCCGCGCCTCGAGCAAAGTTGGAGTTCCTTCTTTTCCAAATCAGTTGAGGATCAGTATTCCTTCCTCAAGAGCCTATCACATACCCTGGCCTCACGCAGGACTCACCTACCGTGGCGAACCTTTGCCGTAGCTCGGCCATCGGACGACCTGAGAGCAGTGACTGAGCGTTTTTACGGAGCTGTTCAGTCGCGGGAGTCTCCAAGCCTTGCCATGATCTTCTCTGGCGTGAGTACAGGTGTTTCCGGGTTGCTCATCACACCGCCGTGGTCGCTGACAATCTTGTAGCAAGGAGCGCAGTGGTACGGGATGGGACGCGAGCTATTCCACACGTATCCTGCATTCCGTCAAAGCATCGAAGAGGCTGCAGAATATCTCCGAAATCTAGGATGCAAATGGGATCCCGTTGGTATGCTGGGTGACATGTTCCATTCTCAAGCCTAGCTGGTGCTAATTGAATTCAGATGAACTCCAGCGAAACGAAAGCGAATCGAACGTGAATCGCACTGAGTACAGCCAGATTCTGTGCACAATTCTCCAAGTAGCTCTGGTGGACCTGCTGCGGTCGTTCAACATTGTACCCAAAGCCGTACTCGGCCACTCTTCTGGTGAGGTTGCCGCGGCGTGAGTATCCGTTCCATCAGCATGCAAGAGTCCTGCTGATTATGGGCCAGATACTGTTCCCGCGCGATATCCCGCCGTTCGGCCTGGAAAGTCTCGTACTTCCGAGGCAACATGAGCAGTCGGCTGGAGAAAAGCGCACAGATGAAAGGGTCCATGTTGGCTGTCGCCCTCTCCGAAAAGGAGGTGTTGCCGTACATTGAAGCAGTGAGCGCCGCGTTTGAGGTTCCACGACTGACCGTTGGCTGCATCAACAGTCCCAAGAGCGTGACCGTCTCTGGAGAAGGGGTGCAACTCGACGCACTCAAGGCTCGACTGGACCTGGATAAGGTCTTCTGTCGCAGACTCAAGGTCAACTTAGCTTATCACTCCGTCCAGATGAAGGAAATCGCGGCCCAGTATCTGGAAGCTCTTGGCGAGCTGGAGGGTGACCCTTCAGAGCCGCACACCCGGCCTCAGATGGTCTCATCCATCACCGGTGACTGGATCGACCCCGACGAGCCGCGTCAGGCTTCTCACTGGGTTAGGAATATGATATCGCCGGTACGCTTTTCCGATGGACTCGCCACGCTCTGCTCCGCCTCATCCAACCCTACGAATTCGGTGGACGGCAGCCACCGACGGAAACGCAAGATCGATCACCTTCTGGAAGTCGGGCCTCATTCAGTACTGCAAGGTGCCTGCAAGGATATCTTGAAAAACATCGGCAAGAGCTCTTCCATCAAATACCTGTCTTTGCTGGTGCGTAACATGTCCGCCGTGGATACCGCTTTTTCAGTGTTCGGTGATCTGTATACCGCAGGATATCCCATCGACTTGACCCTGGTCAACCAGGACGATTCAACATGCCGAGCTCTGCCAAATCTGCCTGAATATCCCTTCAACCATGAGAAAGTCTACTGGTACGAGAGCAAAATAAGTAAAGGTCACCGTCTGCGACGATTCGCTCGGAACGACCTCTTGGGGTTGGCGGATCAGAACCAGAACCCGCTGGAAGCGCGGTGGAGGAATATCATCCGGGTGGCTGAAATGCCCTGGGTCCAGGATCACAAGGTACGGATTCCATCAATGGCTACGACCGGGGGGTAATGCTGATATCTGCAAAGATTAATGGAACGATCCTCTACCCTGGAGCAGGGATGGTGGTCATGGGTATCGAGGCAGCCAAGCAGCTGGCGGATCCAAGCAGGCCGATCTCCGGCTTCAATGTCCGAGATGTCGCCTTCCGCGCGGCCATTCGGGTGCCATCGGGGGCACAAGGCATTGAGACCAATTTTCATCTTCGGCCTGCCAAGAATATGGAGTCGAAACGGTCCGGCTGGTTTGACTTCAACGTCTGCACGTTCGAGAACGAGGCCTGGATCGATAACTGCACGGGCTCCGTTCAGATTGTCTATGGCGATAAGGAAGAGGAGATGGAGAAAGCGCTCGCAGTTGAGCTGCAGGCCGCTCAGCGGGACGCTTACTCGGCGGCAGCACAAACGTCTAAATTGACCATGAGGGGGGAGAAGTTGTATCATACCCTGGAGGATTCAGGCTATGGCTACGGTCCGGCTTTCCAACTGGTGCAAGAGCTCTCCCAGGGCAGAGCGGAGGCAGAGGTGACTGCTCTGGTCCAGAACTTCTCGACATCCTTGGGAGAGACGATCCACCCAACAACACTGGATGCCATCCTTCAAACAGCTATCTGGGCATCAGTACCCTCGGAAACGGATAGGATCCCAACTGCGGTGCCGACCTACATTGAGACGTTATGGGTCGATAGCCACGCGCTGTCATCCACGGTGCTCAAGGTCCATGGCACATGCTCCAAGGTGTCGCAATTCATTGGCCCATCTTCGAACATCGTTGTACTTGACGACAAGTTGCAAAAGACCTTAGTGTCCGTGGCGGGGTTGCGTATGAACATCGTTGACACGCCAGGTCTG